AAGGGACATCAAGATATTCATTGGGCTCTAACTCTTTTTGGAAACCGAAATGGGATAACAATAAAGGTGATGAAGTTGTTTCAAAAGGTAAAACTGAGCTATCAAAGGGAAGAGAGGAAGTTGTTAGCAAAGTTACACCCAAAGCAGAATCCTAACCCCCTTGGAATCGGGGTATCAAGTGCTTTAGGTGTTTGAGATCGGGACATATTGCTTCTCAATGTTCAAACAAAATGGTGATGATCTTGCACGATAATGGGGAAGCGATGAGTGATAGTGAGGGTGAATATGATGACATGCCAAAATTAGAGGATGCTAGCAATGGTGAGGAAGTGGAGTATGCAATGATGGAGCTGTTGGTTACACGGCGAGCTCTTAGTGATCAAATCAATGTGGATAACTTGAAACAATAAAGGGAGAACATATTTCATACGAGATGCTATATCAACAATAAGGTATGTAGTACGACTATTGATGGGGGTAATTGTACCAATGTAACTAACATTACACTTATTGAAAAATTGGGATTAACTATATTAAAACATTCTAAACCTTACAAATTGCAATTATTGAATGAATGTGGAGAGATCAAAGTGAATAAGCGAGTGTTGGTAAGTTTATCAAGTGGGAAGTAATGTGTGATATAATTCCTACATATGTCGGGCATATCTTGTTGGGAAGGTTATGAAAATATGATAGGAATGTATATTATATTAATAATACTGAATATTAAATTTATTTTGATATGTATCATTATCATTATTTATTTATTTAATTAAGGTCTTAAATTATTATTTTTTTTTTTTATATGGGGTGAGGAAGGAGAATTGTGAGAACCACCACCTAGTATGTAATAATTTCACACTATTGCACCAGATCCACGTGAATTCTATTTCAAATGAAAGTTTTCAAAAGTCTTTTGAATTTTACAAAAGTCTATATAAGTTTTAAAATGAAAGTCTACAAAAAACTTCTACTAATTTTATACAAATCTCTACAAAAATTCACGAAATCCACAAAAATCATCATTTAAAAAAAGTCCAACAAATTTTTCAAAAGTCTCAATTGAATACACCCCCTAATTATCTTGAAAGAACAATAATATCAGACCAACCATTAGATTGGTTTTCTATTTAAACAGACTTAAAATCAACTTCTTAATCTCATAAACAACTTTTAACTTTTTTTTTTAATCTAGCAGAGTGAACACTTCTCACAACCCTCGAATCGATAGTCCAGCCCTGAACTATTTATGAGCTCAATCTTTTGAAACTTTAGGTTGTGGTAAAAAGAAACTGATATATATATTTGACAAACTTGAGACTTAAATATATATCATTAATTAAACATGTAATTAAATATATTAATGTAATAATATCATATAATTTATAGTCACATTTACTTACTAACAGTGATGGCAAAAAAAACCCGCCCCGTCCCGCCTCGCCTCACCCCGTCCCGCCCCGACGGGTTGGCGGGATGAGGCGAGGAGGGAGTGACCAGCCCTGAAGCGTCCCAAACCTGCCCCGTGAAGAATAAAGAAAACAATTAATTACAAATTAAAAACAAAAA